GGATTGTATTAGATCTGGATGTTTCCTGGCATTTGGGGTAGGAGGTTAAACTAGCCCTGTTGATGGATTTGTCTGGTTTGATTTATGCTGACCATCTGGTAAGCTGTTGCAAGAAGATTGCACAGACTGACTACAAGCAGCGGCATGACAAAGTAGCAACAATGGTGCATTGGAAGATCTGCAAAAAATATCATTTGCCTGTAAGCAAAAACTGGTGGGATCATAAAATAGAGAAAGTCATAGAAAATTATAAAATTAAACTGCTCTGGGACTTCAGAATTCAAACAGACAAGCACATGCAACATAACACCCCAGACTTAACAATTGTCGATAAGAAAGACAAAAAAGTTTGGATAGTGGACGTGGCAGTGCCTGGAGACAGCAGAATAGAAGAGAAAGAACTGGAGAAGATAACAAAATACAAAGACCTACAAATAGAAATAGAAAGACTGTGGCAAAAGCAAGCAAGGGTAGTACCAATAGTCATAGGCGCCTTGGGTACAATCCCAAAACAACTGGAGCACCACTTGAACACCATTGGCATTGACAAATTCACTATTAGTCAATTGCAAAAGGCGGCCTTACTAGGAACTGCTTCCATCCTGCGACAATATTTGTAATACCATCAAATATCCACATCTGCCTATCCCAGGTCCTGGGCAAGGACTCGATAGGTAGACAAAATGCCAAATCCAATCTGAACATCTGGCTGACTGTGCGATGATCAATAATAAAGTTGTAAGGGATCTTGGAGGTCATCTAGTCCAACCCCCTGCTCAGGCAGGAAACCCTATATAATTTCAGACAGATGGCTGTCCAGTCACTTCTTAAAAACTTCCAGTGTTGGAGCATTCACTGCTTCTGGAGGCAGGTTGTTCCATTGGTTAATTGTTCTAACTGTCAGGAAGTTTCTCCGTAGTTCTAGGTTGCTTCTCTCCTTGATTAGTTTCCATCCGTTGCTTCTTGTCCTGCCCTCAGGCGCTTTGGAGAATAGACTAGCCCAGGGGTAGGCAACCTTGGCTCTTTTATGACTCGTGGACTGCCTCAGGCGCTTTGGAGAATAGCTTGACTCCCTCTTCCTTGTGGCAGCCCCTCAAATATTGAAATATTGCTGTCATGTCTCCCCTATTTCATCTTTTCTTTAGACTAGCCCAGGGGTAGGCAACCTTGGCTCTTTTATGACTCGTGGACTTCAACTCCCAGAATTCCTGAGCCAACCATGCTGAGAGGAAAAGGAAAGGTTTCCAAGCTGAGCCATGCTGGCTCAGGAATTCTGGGAGTTGAAGTCCACGAGTCATAAAAGAGCCAAGGTTGCCTACCCCTGGACTAGCCAAACTCAAGTCCTGCGGCTGTTCTTTGTATGTTTTAGTCTCCAGACCTTTCATAATCTCAGTTGCTCTTCTCTGAATGTTTTCCAAACTCTCAACATCTTTTTTGTGATATGGTGACCAAAATTGGCTGCAGTATTCCAGGTATGGTCTCACTAGGGTTTTATATAACGGTACTAATGCCGTTTTATTCTATGCCTCTACTTATACAACCCAGGATTGTATTAGATCTGAATGTTTCCTGGCATTTGGGGCAGGAGGTTAAACTAGCCCTGTTGATGGATTTGTCTGGTTTGATTTATGCTGATTGAAAATGGTATCGTGTGTAGGTATATGTTATATTATTTTCCATTAATACTCAGGAAGTTTATTTTGTGTATTACATTGCTGGTTTGGATTTAATCTCCTGTGTGCTTCCTAGAATCTGTGCTTTATGGTGGGCAGCTGTATAAATTGTTTAAATCAATAAGACATTATAGCTGATTGACTATTAGTGTCATTGCAGTTATACTGATGAATCCATGAGAAGCCATTGTACAATAAATTTTAAATATCAACATTTCACAGGGAACAGTAGAAAGGCTGAATATATTGTTTCAGATATAAAGGCTTAAGTGTAGATTTAGAGAATGGAATGGCCAATACTGGTATGCATAAATTCTTTTAAAATATTTCAAGCTGTAAATAGAACAGTTCAGTTCAAAATGTGTCCTTGGAACATTCTACATGTTCTCTTTTCCAATATAAAAAATTATAATGTTTTGACTGTGCAACATTAAGAAATAATGGGAATTCTGAAATTCAATTATTTTTTTTATCCCTATATCATAAAATTGAGAGGGAGAAAGTCAGTACTATTTCTCTTCCAACCTTTGGAAAATTTGTACAACGGGATGATAATAGGTAATGATAAATACAATTCTTAAAAGTTCTAAAAGCAATATAGAAAACATATTCAGAGTATGGGTCTATGATTGGCAATCTGGAGGAAAAACACAACACAAAACAAAGGTAAAATAATATTATATTACTGTATAAGTTTAACCTTGTGGTGGAACACCTGATCCCACAGGACAGAAAGCTCTCCTCTCCCAGAAGCCCTTTGTATCTTTGCATCTTAGCTTCATCTCTTGCTGTAAGTTTGGAGTTTGGTAAATTCTGCTGCTACTGTAAGAGCCAGTTTGGAATAGTGGTTAAAACATCAGGCTAAAAATCAGGAGACTGAGTTCTAGCCCCAACCTAGGCACAAAGCTAGCTGGGTGACAAAGCCAGTCACTCTCTTTCAACCCTAGCAAGAAGGAAGTGGCAAATACTTCCAGAATCTTACAAAGAATCCTGTAGAGCCTAGTAAAAAAAAAAACTGACTCAGAGACATAAAAAATAAAAATCTGCTGCTACAACTTGTCTTCCAAGAGATGTTACAATTCACAAGTGTCCCTTAATAACTGTGTGGGTGAGAAAGAAAACTCTCACAACTTTTCTTTATCTTTTTTCTGATAATTAAAAGGAGAGGGTGAATGGGAACAGACAGAATAATTTACATACTACTTGCCCATGTCGTTCAAAGGCACGTGGCCTTTCTTACTCATTCTTGAGAAAAGCTAATCTCACTTGGGATTAAAAAAAAAACCTTCATCAGACAGGAAGAAATTATAAAAGTCCTGAAAAATATAAAAGAAAATGCAGTATGCCAGACAAACTGTGAGGTTGTGATAGACTGCTACAACGAATGCATTCTTGCTCTGATCTAGAGATGTTGTGATTTATGCTTATAATTTACTAGAAGATTATAGACAAAATTATAGTCTTGCCCAGTGAGAGAGATGGAATGTAAAACTGAAATACATACTCATTTTTCTCATTTGAATTGCCACTTATAAGGTAGGCAAAGAGCTTCCCTTCTGTCTTTTGATTATGTATGTCTAATAGCCTTTCCATTACTTCACATCCTTTAGACTAGGGGTGTCAAACTGCCGGCCCGTGGGCCAGATGCGTCACACAGAAGCCACGCCCACCCCATTGCCAGCAATGGCAAAACTGTCCCGATACGTTGCGCGACGTCACGTGATGTCACGAGTTTGACATGTCTGATTCAGACATTTTTGTCTGCCTGCCTAACTGCCTGCATACCTCCCTCTCTCTCTCTCTCCCTCTCTCTCTCTCTCCCTCTCCCTCCCTCCCTCTCCCTCTCTCCATCCACTCATCCATCTATCTAAGATATTGCCAGTCTCACTGTCCATCTCTGGGTAGTTTTCAGATAAAATCTACCATAATTACAACTTTTAAAAACAAAAATTTCATTTGCTCATCTTTTTGAGGAGATTTCACATTAATCAGTCAGGTACTGCCAAGGAGTTTGTTTTCTTCCAATTTAGTTTTCTCAGTTCAACTAAAAACAAAACCCTTTCTAACAGAGATATAAGGTGGGAGAATTTGACTTGGTATGTCATACTTGTCAGTGTGTATTGGCCATCAGTCATGAAGTTGACTGGCTGTGAATATCAACATTTAGAGCCTGCACAATCACAGTGCTTTCAAATAATAACAAATATTTAAACTTCAGTAAAAGAGCACAGACAATATTTTCTAATCTCCAAACTAGTTAGTAGTGATTTTTTAAATTGACTATTCACCCCATTCCCTTCCCAACACAGCTTAAAAATACTACATTTATTTCAAAATGGCCATTACAAGCTTGAATTAATTGGGGTTTGGAGTATTTTGCTCACCCTTGAACCAAAATAAAGTGCTTTTTCTTCTCTAAATTTGACTTGAAGAAATGAATAGAAAATAATGACACCTTCAATTCTGCACTTTCGAATTGAATTTGATAAGTGCATTATATACATATTTGCGTTAAAACTACAGAATCAAAATAATTTCAAACAGCTTAAATCTTGGATATCCAATCATTAAAAGAAGTGGGACAAAATACTCTATTCAAGCCAGTTTTCATTTTGCCTATTATCTTTTTCTTCCATACATACCAGTAGATATTCACTAGCTTCTAACACAGTAATGCAATAAAAATCAATGCACTAGTAAAGCTCTTGTGTCTGTAACCTTTAATTTGGTAAAACAGTGCATCATAGGACAAAACATTTTAGACCATGGCATCTCAGATCAACTATCTTATAAAATCTGTCCAAAATCCAGGACCCATGACTCCCATGGAATTGAAATTTGGCAAATTTTATAAAATATTCTCACATTAAAAATATACATATTTTTTAAAACATGTATCTCTGTAGTTCATCATCGGCTACTTTCAAGGCAAATACATATCCGAATAGCTCCCTAAATGTTTTAAGAACTTTTCAAATTATATTGAAAGCTCTGCCATTGTTGAAGGCATTGAGGAATCTGGTAAAGAAATATCTCTGAAACAATGACCCAACAAGTCCTAGTTGTCTAATATTTATTTAAAATATTTGTTTCACTTGGAAACTATTCTCTTACCAAAACCAACTCATCCTGAATAGAATTCCATTGCGACTTTTTTTTATTCTAATTGATAGATGTGTTGATATGATGCAATAATGTTGAAATTTTTGGTAGTAAAATAAAATATCAAATACGATTATATAAACTTAACTCTGTTTGATGTACTGCTACTGTGTTATAACTTTCTTGCCTGCAAGTAGGAGACTGGTTACTCATTATGTGTTTCAGAATTGTGATGAAAGGTTCCAGTACAAGTACCAACTTCGTTCCCACATGAGCATCCATATTGGACATAAACAGTTTATGTGCCAGTGGTGTGGTAAAGATTTTAATATGAAACAGTACTTTGATGAGCACATGAAAACTCACACTGGTAAGGATACATTTTGACTGTTATCTATATACAAGACTTTCTGATGTAATAATAATTCATAGGGCTGTTAACAGATGAAGTTTATCAGCACATAAGCTTTTTCCTTCCATTAAAGTCTAAACATAATGCTGTTTTCAGTGTAATTAAACAAGGAGATGCTTGTATCATCTGAATTTCAACAATGGAAAACAAAAGAGGGAGAATTAATTTGAGGAAATAAAATTGCACAGTCTCTTTGGAAGTAGAAAGTTCTTAACACAATACATGAAAAACTATTAGGCCAGAAGGGCAATATATGTGTATATTAAGACAGAAGAAAAAATATAAATATGTTTGTACTAGATATAGAAAGCAGTAGACAGGCACCAAAGAGATTTAAGAAGAGGTGTTGATAGAGATGTGTAAGTATGATGTAAAGAAACCAAATGCAAATGAAGTAAAAAGGAATGGGAAATTAAGAAAATGAAACATTGGAGCTAGAAATGACAGAACGTAAAGGAAACCTCAATAAACTACAATGAGGCAAGATGTATAATAAATTATGAGGAAGATTGCATTGAATATACAAAACAAAAATCTGATTACAGGAGGTTGTGAGCAGATGAGTAGTTATGACCAAAGGTGAGGGGAAAAATTATCTAATCCCCTGCTGATTTTGTACATTTGCTCACTGATAAAGAAATGATCAGTCTATAATTTTAATGGTAGGTTTATTTTAACAGTGAGAGACAGAATAACAACAAATCCAGAAAAATTCATTTCAAAAAAGTTATAAATTGATTTGCATTTTAATGAGTGAAATAAGTATTTGATCCTTTTGCAAAACATGACATAGTACTTGGTGTGAAAACTCTTCTTGGTAATCACAGAGGTCAGACATTTCTTGTAGCTGGCCACCAGGTTTGCACACATCTCAGGAGGGATTTTGTCCCACTCCTCTTTGCAGATCCTCTCCAAGTCATTAAGGTTTTGAGGCTAACATTTGGCAGCTCGAACCTTCAGCTCCCTCCACAGATTTTCTATGGGATTAAGTTCTGGAGACTGGCTAGGCCACTCCAGGACCTTAATGTGCTTCTTCTTGAGCCACTCCTTTGTTGCCTTGGCCATGTATTTTGGGTCATTGTTATGCTGGAATACCCATCCACGACCCATCTTCATTGCCCTGGCTGAGGGAAGGAGGTTCTCACCCAAGATTTGACGGTACATGGTCCTGTCCATCGTCCCTTTGATGCAGTGACATTGTCCCCTTAGCAGAAAAACGCCCCCAAAGCATAATGTTTCCACCTCCATGTTTGACGATGGGGATGGTGTTCTTGGGGTCATAGGTAGCATTCCTCCTCCTCTAAACATGGTGAATTGAGTTGATGCCAAAGAGCTCGATTTTGGTCTTATCTCATCACAACACTTTCACTTAGTTCTCTGAATCATTCAGATGTTCATTGGCAAAGTTCAGACGGGTCTGTACATGTGCTTTCTTGAGCAGGGAGACCTTGCGGACACTGCAGAATTTTAGTCCTTCATGGTGTAGTGTGTTACCTATTCTTTTCTTAGTGACTATGGTCTCAGCTGCCTTGAGATCATTGACAAGATCCTCCCGTGTAATTCTGGGCTGATTCCTCACCGTTCTCATGATTGTTGAAACTCCACAAGGTGAATCTTGTATGGAGCCCCAGACTGAGGGAGATTGACAGTTATTTTGTGTTTCTTTCATTTGCGAATGATCGCACCAATTGTTGTCACCTTCTTACCAAGCTGCTTGGTGATAGTCTTGTAGCCCATTCCAGCCTTGTGTAGGTCTACAATTTTGTCCCTGACATCCTTGGACAATTATTTGGTCTTGGCCAGGGTGGAGAGTTTGGAATCTGATTGATTGATTGCTTCTGTGGACAGGTGTCTCTTATACAGGTAACAGGCTGAGATTAGGAGTACTCCCTTTAAGAGAGTGCTTCTAATTTCAGCTTATTATCTGTATAAAAGACACCTGGGAGCCAGAACTCTTGCTGTTTGATAGAGGATCGAATACTTATTTCACTCTTTAAAATGCAAATCAATTTATAACCTTTTTGAAATGTGTTTTTCTGGATATTTTTGTTGTTATTCTGTCTCTCATTGTTAAAATAAACTTATCGTTAAAATTATAGACTGATCATTTCTTTGTCAGTGGGCAAGCGTACAAAATCAGCAGAGGATCAAATAATTTTTCCCTTAATGTATTCTAAGAGTTCAAAGCAAGATATAAAAAGATAATGTAGTTGGATAAATAGTGATATAATAAATAATAACAGGAGGGTTATTGACACTTGACATTTTAAATGAGATTGGAAATTGGAAAATGATTTAAAAGGATGGATTGGAAGAAATTGTATAGATACCTCCTGTTTCATATTAAAGGTAAGGAAGATGAATGGTATAATCTGTAGGACCAGAAGTTGGGAAGTACTGAGAATTCTTGGGTTTAAATCAAGATAATGCGCTGGAGTGCTAACTTGACAAATCTGAGTTGAAGTGTGAACCCCAGCCAGCATAACCAACTATTGATGATTTTGGAAATTGTAAATCAGCAATATAGATGAGTCTTTGACAATTTCTTCGATTTAAAATTTGGTTTCAAAAATTTATAATAAAAATTGAATTTGATTAAAGGTGCCATTTTATAACTTTTAACAGGAGAGAAGCCTTTTATTTGTGAAATATGTGGCAAAAGTTTCACCAGTCGCCCAAACATGAAGAGACATCGCAGAACTCACACAGGGGAGAAGCCATATCCGTGTGATGTGTGTGGCCAGCGATTTCGTTTCTCCAATATGCTTAAGGCACACAAGGAAAAGTGCTTCCGTGTTACCAGTCCTGTTAATGTGCCACCCTCTGCCCAGATTTCACTTGCTACAACATCATCTGCCACCACTGTACCTTCTGTTGCGAACACACCAAATCCGCTTGCCCCTACTGCAACAATCAATATGAATCCAGCGAGCACACTTCCTCCTCGCCCAATTGGCCATCCATATTCTCATCTGCATCTTCATTCACATCATCCACATCATCTTCCAGTTCCTGTCCCTCCAGTCCCTCATTTGCCTCCACCTCCTGCTCTATTTAAGAGTGAGCCTTTAAATCATAGGGGTCAAGGTGAGGACAGTTTTCTGCGACATCTAGCAGAAAAAAACAGTTCAGTGCAGCACCACTAACTGTTTTGTCTTCTGCCTGCAATTCTCCTGATCTTAAAAATCTGGAATTGTGCTCTTTCCTAACAAAAGGTACCATTTTGGCCCAAGTAAATTTGCATTACTCTTGGTGATCATCCAGTTTAGGGGAGCCAATAGGACAGATGCCCAATTTGGCTTGCACATTTTACTGTTGACTTTTATAAATTTCAAAAGGACTGAGAATTGTGGATTTTTTTTTTTTTATAATTTCATATCAGCTAATGAGGTATGCTTGCTTTTGTATCCTGGATTTTCTCCTCAAATTGGGGATGAGTCTGGTTTCTTTTGTACTAATCAGAAAAACTGTGAGACTAAATCCCAGAGCATTAATGATCACTGTGTATTGTTAATTTCTTTTCTGCTCTGTATGTGTGTGTGAGCGTGTTTGTGTGGGTGTGGGTGTGTTGGTTATGGAGTGAACCAGCCACATGATTGCAGAATATGAAGCATAGGAAAAACAACAACAATAGTAAACAGAATTTAATCTCATTTGAATAGTTCTCCTAACACACTCTTTATTTTATTATAAAAATTATTTTAGAGTTTTTGTATAGACCTATTTAGTAGCCTGTTTCTAAAATGAAATGTATTTCAAATAAGCGATGTAATTTTTTTCAGTGTAGCTGGACCTATGTTGTTACAATAGATAATTTTTATAATCATTCAAATGTGATTCTTTTAAGAAAAAAAGATGCAAATAGCTTCTATAGTAAAAATTATTCTTACATCTGTACTGCTCTGAAAAGGTGCTTTGAAGTGTAGAGGAAGAAGCCCAAGAAGTCGCTTGTAAAGCTGCCTCAGAAGTGGAGATAATTTCAGAACTTTATATAACTTATTTGTAAGGGGAGGGGGGTTTTTACTGTGAGACATACCTTCTTTCCATGTCACTTGAGGGTGATTAGATAAGGACATTGAACTACTGTATGCCCAGAATGTTCACTTCTTTTATACTGAAGCATGAAGCATTTCAGAAAGGATTTCTCTTAGATAGAGTGAAAATTGCACATAAGGGACCGTCTCAACCAAATATGGTTTCCAACATAGTATGCTACCTTATCATGGGCATACCTTAGAATCTAGTTCATTATAGAGACATTTGTATAAGGTATAAGTTAACTTGGGACCGATTTGATGCTGCTTGTTTTTTCTTAAGTTTGTTAGATGATAAGGGAACTGTAAACGATGCGATTTAGTTGGCTCTGTAAAAATTAAACCTGAATTAGGCAAACGTGTGTGAAAGCCATTGTCATGTTGGCTGAAAAAATGTACATCATGGAATACGTGCATACGCTAAAGTTGTGTGAAGGACAAATAGTACTGATTATAGAGGATTATGTCTTTCAGGTTTGACCATGTTCTACATATAAATGGGAAAGAAATGTTGAATGTTAAGCAAGTTGATAATTGTGTTTTTCTCAGTCTCCAATGGCTCTAAATTGTGACAAATAGAATCATGGTAATTAACTTCGGATAAAGTACAGCACCATTTAAGGATCCACTTAGTACCTTAAGGAGAAGGCATAGAGATTCCTTTATAGTTGGAGTAAATTTTTCTAAGTTTAATTTTCGTGCTCAAGGACCATCAAGCTGATTCCTGGGGTGTTCTGTTTTTGAAATTCGGCTTTAAGTCTAATTTAAAAGGGATATTCCTCGGATGAAACAGAAAGGCCTTGTTATTGCATTCCCTGAGGCTGCTGATTGTGTTTCCCCCTTTTATTAACGTTGCATTAAAAATAAAATAGCTGACTTTTCGGTATTTATTCATATTTGACTGAAAACATCTTAACTCCTTTTTCTGAAAAAAAAAGTATTTTTAAAATGTTATGATAACACTTATGTTCCTTCTCTTTTTTTAGACAGTAGAGGTAACTATAAAAAATAATATTTAACAGTTCACCACCATCTACTATCTTGATTGGTTTTATACATTCCATGTCATCTTGTAAAACAGCAGTTCTGTATAGAATGCCATAGGCCAGCAACATGGCCTGTAAAATCCACTGTTCCAAATTTAAAAGAAAAAGTCACACTTGATAAGTCAATTGTAATCCAATTTGCAAAAAACATTTTTTCAATAAATTTACAGTATTTGGCTGCTATTTATGAATCCTGCTGCTTGAGGTGGGTGTATTTCTGTGCTGTCTGTTCTAAAAGTTAACATTCATTTCAGAGCTGTGATCTACATATTGTAGAATAGTATAAATATTAGCAAAATGGGTCAAGCACCATTGAACTTTCTTCATTCTTGCATGGATGAATTTGCATCTATCCTATTGCAATACTTAAGACTTCCTTGCAGAACTAATTTGGTTCAGTGCAATGTCATCCCTATATACAGATAAAAGTCATTAATGGGTGTATGAACTGATAGGGGTCTACACTTTTGTCTTTATGCAATGCTCTTGTCCTCTTTTCATTTTTATTTCAAAAATATTTTCAAAATACAAACATTATAAATGTGTAGCAGTTCACATTCCATTCCAAAAAATGCTTTGAAATGTGTGAGACATGAATGTGGCATTCTCTGTAACTCTTTAAAGCAGCTGCATATTTTCCTAGGAACACACAACTTTGGGGAATTAAATTGAAATGACTACACAGCCCAAGTGCAATAAATATTTAATCAACATACAAAATAGCCTTTATTAGATTTTGGATTTTGAAGTAGAATTATAATTTTGGAAGCCTTCTTACACTGGCAAGCTTTTATTCATAAGATGTGAGTGTTTTTGTGCTAAACTTTTAAAACAATTTCTGTTTGTTCATTTGATTGTATAATAGCAACTTCATAGTGTTTTACAGTACTCTCTAAGCAGTTTACAGAGTCAGCATATGTTCCTAACAATTTGGATCCTCATTTTACTGACCTCAGAAGGATGAAAGGCTGAGTCAACCTTGAAACAGTCAGGATCGAGCTCCTGGCAATGGGAATGCAGAATTAACCTGCAATAATGCATTCTAACTACTGTACCACGATTGCTCTTTAAATCCATAATATTTTTCCTTTTACTGGAAATTTTACTATTTCCTTTTAGAGTTGCAAACTACAAGTCTTTGCGTTTTTATAATGTTGCACAATGATTTGTTTTGTTACTACCATAGTCCTGGAGTCTTAGTATCTGATCATTGATGTTTTACCATCAGAAACATGTTATAATTTCCCCATTTTTGGAGTATAATCATAATGAATAGAATGGTTTTGAGAAAATGATGTCTTCAATATTTACCCCAAAAGGCATGGTAACAGAGCATGGAACCAATTTTTGTACCAGGTCTGCTTAAGGACAATGAGATTGCCAAAATCCATTTTCAACATTAGAGAGTTTTGATTTATCTTGTCAAGCACTTCATAAAATTGCAGTGAATATTGAAGCTAAAGATGACATTGTGAGCTCTTTAGAGACACATACAATTTCAACATAACAACAGTTATGAACTTCTATTAATTTGCTTCTTGAAAGTGACCATAATAAAAAGACATTCATTCTATTTGTTTTTATACTTGCATTTTAGTAATTAATCCCAAAGGAAAATCTGAAGATCAACCAAGAATTGTGATTTGTTTAAAAGTTAATGAAATCTGATTGTTTTTAAGCTGCTTAAGATTATTGATTTTAATAGTATGCAGCATATGCCATCCCAGTATGAATGTTCTCACTACAAAAATGATACTTAAACCAGCCTCTTGAAAGACTAGAAAAGGCAATTGCACAAACACAGTCAGAACTATTGTTCATTTCATTTCATAACAGCAAAGAACATCAACTATTTTCTTTCCATTACTGTATAGGTAGCCCTCAAATTACAATCATTCATTTAGTGACCATTCAAAGTTACAGTGGTGCTGAAAAATGTGATTTACAAACCAGTCCTTGCACTTGTGACTGTTGGCAGTATCTCTCTGGACATGTGATCCAAATTTGGGTACTTGGCAACCAATATATATTTATAATAGTTGCAGCCTCCCAGGTTCAGGGGTTCACTATCTGCAGCCTTCCTACCCCTCAGAAACGAAAGTCAATGGAGGAAGCTGGATTTACTTAATCATGATTCACTTAACCACGGTAATCTACTTAAAGATCACAGCATAAAATTGGACGCAACTCTTGAAAACCAGCTCACTTATTGACAGAAATTCCCAATTGTGATCATTAATCAAGGACCACCTGATATTAAAATATGCTTGATTTGAGAATAAATGCCTTCCATTTTCCCCACATAGAATCAGTAATTCTGTAGTTTTATGCAGTTAAGTTGTAAGTGATTCTTTTAAAATATGTTTCATTAGACTGGCAACACAAATATTATCTTGTTAAATATCATGTATGATTTGAAGATTTAATGAAGTGGTTGGGTTTAATTTTAATTTTAATTTTGCAATGAGTGGAATGGTAAGGAGTATTCCTTTGCTGATTTGCCTTAGTGGAATGTTTAACATTCATTGGGGGCTCCATTCTTCAGAAACCTAGAACAATGGAAACAACAACAAAAGAAATTAAACTGTCGAAACTGTTTTCTCTCATATCGTTCTTTCCCTCACCTGTAAAGTTGATTTGAAACCTATTTTTATACTTAACAGTCGACTTAGATTCTTGAATAAGAATGTTTGAATGAATGTATGATCTTAACAGTTTGATTTTCAGGATGGCAACAGATGGCACTTTAATAAGGTTGAAGAACAGATTGGAAAGGTGAGTTAACAATGGCATGTTACAATTTGTAACTGTATTGTAGCATAAATAGATCATGTGCATGCTTAAAAGGAGAAATGTACAGTGTTCTGAGGTAGGTATGGTTTTTTGCATAAAAAAGAAATTTAACATAAATGTCAGTTTACGAGTTAGCTACTACTGCAAACAAATTTGCAAAAATTAGAAACTGTTTGCTATACATGAAGTCTCTTTGCTTTGGCAGGTCTGCTATGTACTGCTGAATACATTCCCTGTTCTTCCTTCTAGTCCTCCATATATCTCCCTAAAAATAAATAAAGTATAAATATAATTTTACAAGCTTAGAAAATAGAACATTTTTTCACGCCATAGTTTTTATGTTTTTCTATATGAAAAATACTTTTTTGAACTTAGTTATTTGAATCTTGACAAAACATTTCTATAGAGATCTTAAATATGTATTCTATAGCAAGACTAACTCTTAAGTGAAATTGAATAAGTAAAATTAACAGTCATAGTCTGTTGGACATACATAATATTTCTTTTTGCTCAAAAGTTAATATATTTGCTTTCTGCTAATAATGGTATTTTCTGTTCTGACAGGCTGCTAAACTACCCTTACCAGTGTTAATCTTCCATGCAAACAAAAATTTGATATCATGAAACCCCCTAAAATAAAAACTGTTCAAAGGCACAATTACAATGTCAAAAACTTGCTAGGTAGCAAGTGAGCATGATTGCTTGAGTACTTTTGTTCATTTTAATTTCCATTGTATTAACTATGCTGTACTCCCTTGAATCATTTGACTCTTGATGGCTGCATAAACATATTCATATAGTTTTATTTGACAATGAATACTGAAATGGCTTGCCATTGTCTTTTCATTCTGTTAATTGCCACTTTGCAATATTGTTATAATGTTATTAGGAGGACAAATCATTTCGGAAAGTAGAGGTGGCCATTGAGAAGGGATATCACTGAAGTCTCATAAGAGTGTCTCAGTGAGGAGGCCTGGAGTGTGTCTTCCATGTTAGAATATGCGTATGGGGCAGGTACTTTAGGGAATAGGCACTCCCATTAATAATCTGCAATTAGGTGTTGAGTAGCATCTTAAATTGCATCTGAAAGCCTATGTGGAGTAGGTGCAGCTTGTGGAGCGGAAATGTCATGTGGCCATAACAAGAAATACCCATAACTACCTACACAACTACATACTGGATTATCTTCAAGAGAGTTTCATTGGGGGTGGAAGATTGGACTACATAGTTTTTTGTTTTGTTTTTTCTGGGATGGACAAGAGTATATGAAATATTAGTGTGGTGCTAATCCTGAAAAGGATGCTGTCTTGTTGACTTGAAAGTGTTATATGTATAAATGCTGCATGTAATCTGTATGTTTGGTAAGATGTTTGTGTTCTGTTTGGCACTATTAAAACCTGGAGCAAAGAGACCATCTTAATCCCTACTGGAAAAGAATATTTAATAACTTACATGCAAATTTAATCACATTTAAAGCAGTAAGAAAAAAGATCCATTTATGAAACAGTTTTTGAGATGAGGCAAAGGATCTTCTTGTGTGTGAAAACTAAAATGGGATTTATGGTTTTCTGGGACTGCATGTTGTACCTCTGTCTTTTGCCCGTCTATTAGAGGGGCCCCTTTCTGTTTCCCAGTTTCGCTCTTCCCCCTTGGATCTTTTTCCACCAATGTTCTTGCTGATATATTTCAAATGCTATGAAAATTAAATATTGAATTATTTTTGTTGAATTACATAATCACAGCTGTTTTATAATGTATGCAACTCTTGGTATAATTGTTCTTGGAGCTTGCTGAGACATTTTGACCTGCAAAAAAAATTGCTGGTTTGTGCTTTTATTCTTTATTCTTAATGATAATATGCAGACATAGGCGCACACTCTGCGGGGCCAAGCAGTTCTGCCACTCTGGTACTAATTAAATTCTAGCTGTCTTTACATTTAAGTCAGATATTCCAACACCATTTCTTGATTATTTTTGAACTTCAGCTAACAAAACAGTTGCAAGTTGATGTGTCATTTTTCCCCCCTCTATGCTGGGAGCAGCTTACTTTCTACACAAAAGGTTCTTTTTGTCTTTTGTCTTTTTCTTGTAAAATGTGTAGCTGAAAGCTTGCTGGGATAGAATTAAGGTAATCTACTGTTTGAACATTCTGCTGCAAGGAAATGCAAGAGTAGGGAATGGCAACTAGGCAGAAGAGATAAGATCTGTGCTTTGTTTTATTACAATGCTAGCTTTCTTTCATCATTTTTATATTAATTTAAATTCTAAATTCCATGACAGTATGTTTTTCTATCCAGAGGACCATATGCTCATAAAAATATAACTGCCATTTTTCCCCCAAAAAGCTAATTATTATTTTTCCTCCTTTAAATTAAATTAGCATTGCTTTGCATACTTTATTTTTTTTTTTCAGAAGTGTATATGCCCATATGTCTCTATATTTTTATATTTTAAAGCTTAGTTTGGACAAAAATAACATGATTGTAGACATAAGATAATCATGGATCATTATGGCTCTTGACTTTGCTGTGCTTTGACACATTGAAATCTAAATTATCAAAAGGTTTGCTTTTTTCAGTTATATCAGGGGTTGACAACCATGGCTCTGGCTCAGGAATTCTGGGAGTTGAAATCCATGAGTCATAAAAGAGCCAAGGTTGCCTATCCCTGAGTTATATCATCGACCACAACTGGACAATCTAAGCAGTTAAGCTGCATTTGACTTTGTCTTGAACAGATAAAAATGTAACAGGAGTTTTCTGTAATTCATACCAGGAAGCCATTTAGTTTAACATTCTGTTTCCACAGTGGCTCTCCATTTGACTGAAAGAAATTCATACGCAAATCACTAAAGATTAGCTCTGTCGTTCTATTGTATTCAAAGGCCTATTGGTTCCACAGATTGTGTAACTCAGAACAAGTTAAATGAATCAGTGAAGGAAAAATAACTGCTGTACGTTCAGAATCTCACTTTTTAGTAAAAACTTCAACAAGGAATCCTAACTAATTTGTAGATATATATGAAGATCTTTAGCATTGCCAGATAACAAGAAAGGCTAGAGTGCAAAAGGTAATTTTTCCTAGTGAAGCTCTTTGTATATCCATTTGTGATGCAAGTATTATTTCTTACATTGCTATTACAGACCCAGGATGGTATCTATTATCATGCGCTATATTAGATCAGAGTGTTACTTATTTGTGAATCCTAACTGACCAGTTGATGCTGAGAAATGTTCTGTGCTGCCTTTGGTAATTGAGATAAATATTTGAAATTCCCACCAATTGCATGTCAGTGAGCAAACTGTTGGTACAGTCAGTATCTTAGACCTTGTCATATTGAAGCTGTAAATAAAGCCCAGTTTGTACACAATTCAAGATAAAAGATTCCAACCTTTACCTAAAAACTTTGTATAGTAGGAGGGGAGAATAAAACAAGATAGTGTGATGGCAGTTGGAGGAATTGCAACAATTATGAAAACAAAACTCTGTAATTGAAAAATAATTGTAACATTCTGTAATTTAGGTAGAAACCTAAATCTGGCATCTGTACTCTTGTTTTCAAACTGCCTGTGTTTGCTTTCACTTTTTAATGCAAATTTATTTATCAAAATTATGCAAGAGAAAATAGTTATGAAGAATGCAATTTACCTGCTCCTCATATTTTTGAATTGGTGATACTGCTATAAGAGCAATTTAAAAATAGGATTGCAAAACCAAGAACATAGTTTTTGCATTCAACAAATTCTCTTCATCCAAAACCAAGGCATAAAGTTACTCCCTTGCATTGCATTTTAAACTTGCCCATTTTTGTTTTGTAACATGTCATACCTAATATTAATAAGAAATTGTGTCATCCTTTAATAAACTTTTATTGTTTATCTTCTGAGGAAAAAATGATGTTTCTCGTATATACTCAAATTATCTACTTTGTACCTAATAATTGAGTTGTGTTGCTTTATTAATGAAATGGGCAGCATATAAATTTAATAAAATATTAATCTTTTGAAAATTGTATGAATAATTTTACTGTCTGAATGTGCTCTGAAAATTGTAACTTGACACACCCCTAGAACTGAAATCTATTAAATAGATGGATTGCTTTTATTTAAAATACCAAAATGTTCCTTGTTTTAAATTGTAGTTCAGTTCAGAATACTGAAAGCCAGCCGGGTGACTTTGGACCAGATTCTCTCTCTCTCTCAGTGTAACCTACCTCACAAAGTTGTTGTTGTGGGGAAAATAAGAGGAAATGGGTATATTGAATATGTTCAGTGGCTGAGTTAATTGTAAAAATAAATAAAATAAATAAAACAATTTAAAAATAAATTTTTTGAACTGCAGCCATCCAAAATGAAAGTTACATGGAGAAGCTGAGAAAATTTCGTTCCAGTTTGTCCAGTGCTTCATTTATCACATTAATGGCAATACTAGTATTGTCTATCAGCAAAAAGCTTTAAAAAAAAAACCTGATAGCATATTGAAATTTTAAAAATCCAGTTTGTGGATATGTTCCTTGACCTCATGCTGAATGAAATCTCATGTCAAATCCTCTGCTCAGTGCACAAATTCAAATTAAAAATTCCCTGCAGGTGACTGGTACCCTCCAGTAGGGAATCCACCACATTTCTAAATAATTTAGTTCATTAGTGGGTTCATTAATTCTGAAGGCTTTTTAAAAACAATTCTCATTGAAATTAGCCTTATAGTCAATATAAAACTATTAATTCATATTTTCCATTCTGAGTAGCAGACAATATCCTGTAGAGTAACACTGTTGTCATACCCTTCCTTACATTTGCCAAAGGCTAAACATACCAAGGTCCTTAAACCCTGCTTCCAAAGACTTAACTTCACTACCCTTTCTTCAACCATTTCTAATTTCTCTGTTTCTTGAAATGTGGTATTCAACACTGAATATAACAGCCTTATACTTGTCTCCTTTTTTTCTGTTTTAGCTTCTTTCTCTATCCAATCATTATTTTGGAATGTATTTCTGTCATCTAGGGTCTCCGATATAATCCCACCTGGTTTATGACATCTGCAAGTATGAAAAGCATTCCATCCATCTCTTTAAGTAATCAAATCCTTTATTACAGTTGATGACCAAGATGTAGGTACAACTCAGTAGAAATATTGTAGGGGGAAAGGGGAATGGGATAAAGTAGCCAATTTACACAAAAAGAAGGCAGAAAAAAGAAATGAAAAGCAAAAGCTGCAGGAAAGAACAGGAGTGCCAGATCATATTTAAAACATGTAAGGCAGCAAAAATTGGAAGAAATGCTTAACTGAAGTATTTACAAAGCCATATTGTTGTGTGACAGCCTAGTAGAGGAGTAATTAATACAAATGTTTGAACACAGAATAAAGGATTGAACTTATAAAGGCCCTTGCTCAATACCTTAGTTTAATTTGATCAGAAAACAAAACTAGCTGTGTTTACATTTCATTATATGTCATCAAGCCCATATTTAAATAGCTTCCTAAAATACCAAATGCTTTAATGAAATCAGGGAATATCAAAGTTCACAAATGTGACCTCAACTCACTACAAAGTCATAAGCTAGCCACCAAACATCCAAATTGTAATAATGTGACTAATGCAACAGCAGGAACTCTGTGGAGCCATCATAAATTCCTCTCATTTGGCATTGTAGTAATTTTGAGTGATTGCTGAATAAATGGTTTCAATCCAAGGACCGACTATAGTTAAAATGAGATAAAGTTCTAGCAAAATGTATTCCTGACAAATTCATGTTGAGTTCTAGAAATCACTACATTGTTTTCTGCATATCTGCTTTTCCTAGATATTTAGAAATGTCAGTTCAATATTTTTATGACAGATTATTCTTTCAAAAAGTAGTTTCGTTGTACAATTGCTGCAGATGGAATTTGCACCTCACACCAAAGTAAAATGCCTTGTTTGTTTTTATGGTACCAAATACACTTGCAGATAAATTAAAAAAATTTAACCTGAAATTATTTTTATTTTCAATTTTACAATGCATTACATTCATAAAAATACTTCAGATAAAAAATAAAGCAGATTGATACACACCACCTTCGGTATTGCTCACCCATTTCCCCCCAAACCGCATCCACCCTCTAACCTACTTCCCTCTTTCCCTCTTCTTCCTCTTCCTCACTCTCCCCCTCTCTTCCTTCTCCTCAACCTTCCTACTTGCTTCTCTCCTTCTTTCTATCTTCTCGTTCCGGATACGGTCCAGGGGAAATGCCCGAGCAATTCCTCTCTCCAAATTAAAATATCAATATTATATACAATAAAACTATTTCTACTTATATGAGCTACTTAAACTTCAACTAATCCAAATTACCTCCCATAAATCCAATGAAATCGGTTCCTGAATATTCTGAGCCCATTTAATTATACAATCTTTTACTAATTCTGTTTCCGAGTCCAGTTTTATTAACTCATTGTAAATTCTTTTAATATGGGCATATTTCTGATCCTTAATCTGAATTACCAAATTTTCATCTTCTAAAGTAATTCCCACTTTCTTATCTAAAGTCCACCTCTGCATTATTTGCAAATATTGAAACCACGATTGTAAAATATTTTCTTGCCTTAACACATCTGAAGACTTTAGTTGCCAATCAGTACCCAACCAAATAAGTAACTCTTTGTACGAAATGTTATCAAAATTCACCCCCCTTAGAAACCCCCTGAATTGCTTGTCCAGGAATCCCCCAAATAGGTATTTTATAATTTAATTTATAATAATATTTCTTCCAAACTCAAAGTAGAGCATTTCTTAAAATGTGTGACTTAAAGACCCAATCTACTTTCTTATCAAAAATTAAGTATGCATGCCAACCATATAATAAATCCCACCCTTCATGAACAAGAATATTTTTATTTGTTAAATTAAGCCAGTCACTTACTAAAGTTAAAGTGGCCGCATCATAATATAATTTCAAATTAGGTGCTTTAAGTCCACCTCTTTCTCGAACATCTTGTAAAATCTTAAACTTTACCCTTGATTTCTTCCCACCCCAAATAATTTTATTGATACCCTTCTGCCACTCATCCAAATTAGCATCCGTCTTTAAAATAAGTATCATCTGAAACAAAAAAAGAAACTTTGGTAGAACATTCATCTTTACTACTGAAATTCTCCCCAGTAACGATAATTGCAGTTTTTGCCAATCATTTAAATCTTTTTGAACTTTAACCCATAAGCGTTCATAATTGTTCTTATACAATTTTCCATTAGATGTTGTAATATATACTCCTAAATACTTAACCTTATTAACTACTTCCTAACCTGTTGCTTCAGCTATAAAATCTTTTCCCTTCATAGACATATTTTTCAATAATATTTTAGTTTTATTCTTATTCACCTTAAAACCAGAGACCTGTCCATACTGTACTAAAATTTCAACCAAATCTTTGACCGAATCTGTTGGATGGGATAACGTCACAACCAAATCATCAGCAAAAGTTCTCAGCCTGTAATCAATCTTACTTATTTTTATTCCTTCTAATCTAGATGAATCTCGGATTTTAATAAGTAAAATCTCCATTGTTAATACAAATAACAAGGGGGATAAAGGACAACCCTAAATTGTACCTTTTCCTATTTTAAATATGTCTGTTAATCCCCCATTAATTATAATTTGTGCCGATTGTTGCTGATATATGGCCTTGAGAGCGCACAAAATTTATCTCCAAAATTCATTTACGACTTTCAATAAAAATTTCCAATCTAATTGATCAAAAGCTTTCTCAGCGTCTATAAATATTAAAGCAGCAGGGATTTGGTTGTTCTTATCCAAATACTCTATTAAATTAACAATTTGTCTTATATTATTTTTCATATATCTTCCCATTATAAATCCAGATTGGTCAGTATGAACCAATTGTTTCAAAACCTGCATTAATCTATTTGCCAATATCTTTGCAAAAATCTTATAATCTGTATTTAAAAGAGATATAGGCCTGTAATTTTTAGGTTGGGACAGATCCTGGTCTTCCTTTGGAATCAATGATATGAAGGCCGTTCTCCAAGATGGAGGTAACTCTGCTCCGGACAAGATATCATTAAAAAGTTCCTTTAATGGTTCTATCATTTCTTCAGATAGCATCTTGTAATAAATTGCTGTTAGCCCATCAGTACCTGGAGTTTTACCAACCTTCAATTGTTTAATTGCAGAAATAATCTCTTCAGAGGTAATTAAACCATTAATCCCATCACGTTGGTCACTCGTAAGTCTAGGAAAATGTGCTTCCTGTAGATATTTTTCTATATCTGAAGTTTGTATAATTTCACTAGCATATAACTTTGAATAAAAATCTAAAAAAGACTTTTTAATCAAATTTTGTTGATAGACTTCTTTACCTTTATAAATTATTTTATCTATAATCCTTGATTTCTGTTTCTTATGTAATTGATAAGCCAACCATCTACCAGGTTTATTTGCATTATAAAATGTATTATGTTTCACATACCTCAAATTAGTTGCCATCTGATCCTCTAATAACATATTAAATTGCTCCTTAAGCAGAGTAATAGAAACCTTTAAATTATTATCCATTGGGTTTGATATTAAAATCTTTTCCTTACATTTAATCTCATCTTCAAGATCTTTACGTTTCTGAGTCTGTTTACGTCTATGAGCATTATTCATAGAAATCAAAATCCCTCTCATATATGCTTTACTAGAAACCCATACCATTGGCATCGAGGTACCCTTATTCATATTCCAAGCAAAAAAAATCCTTTAAATAACCTCTACATCTCTGTATATTCTCTTCATATCTAAATAAATTCTCGTTCAACTTCCAAGACCTTCTAGTCCTTTCTTCCAATGAGATTTCCAACCATATAGGACTATGATCTGAAATTATTCTAGGAAATATCTTGATATTCTTCACCCTAGAAAGGAAATCATTAGTAACCAAAAAGAAGTCAATTCTAGAATAAGATTGGTGCCTATCTGAAAAAAAGGTAAAATCTTTTTCCTCAATGTTCCATTCTCTCCAAATGTCTC